ATTTTTTGATGTCTGCACATATACACATACACAGACATACACACATGCAGATACATATACACACAAACACAGTCACACACAGATACACATTGACACACATGCAGACATCGTGGCGACTCTAGGAACAATATATATGGGGGGGGCACATAAGATACCACAGTCAAAACAGGAGGGCGAGGTGGAGCAGTAAAACTTCACACTAGGGGATGGGATAATATGCTGCCATAGGCTGTCTGATGCCAGCATGCTGTGTTCTGCATGCTGGCATCTGACTACATATTTGCATATAATTCACATTAGCCACCCAGATTTCTTGTTGTGGGCTGGCTGACACCTCTTAATTTCAATCTTTGTTTAGCAGATAACTCCTCTATTTGCTATCCTTTGTGGGATTGCCATATTTAAGGACACCAAATAAGGTGCTATCTGCTAAACAGCACTCTCATTTGGTATCTTTAAATATGGAAATCTCACATACGGGCACCAATTCGGGGAATGATCTACTAAACAGCTAAAGGATAAAAAAAAGCCCTTTTCTTATTTTCAGTTGTTTAGTAGATAAATCCCTTATTTGTTATCTTTATGTGGGATTGCAATATTTGAGGACAGGAAATAAGGGAGCTATCTACTAAACACATATGCAGAGATACACACAATCACACACATAATCACAGATATACACAAGCACAATCACTGACCCACACACATACAATCACAGACACACAATCACATACACACACAAACATTACATACATACACACATTTAATAATTAAGAGGTCCACCCAGCCTCCCTACCTTGCTCTAGAAGGGCTGGAGTGGATCCTCAGTCCCTGGTGGTCAGTGGTTGCTGCTGGGATCTCTGTGCTCTTTCTGCACAGGTCCATCGCACGCCCTGAAATGACGCAGAGGCCGCGATGACATCGTATCCTGGCTGCCGGCTCACTGCAGGGCGAAGACCGTCAGACACAGTCAGATGCACACAGTCCCACACACAGTCACTCACACACAGTTACAGGCAGACAGTCAAATACGCAGGCAATCAAACAGGCAGACAGTCACACATACACAGATTCACAGACAGTCACACACACAATCACGGACAGTCACACATACACAGAACACAGTCACAGACAGTCACACACACAATCACAGGCAGACAGTCACACACACACACACACACACAGTCACAGACAGTCACTCACACACACACACCCACAATCACAGGCAGACAGTCACACACACACACACACACAGTGTAACACAGACAATCACAGGCAAACAGTCACACACACACACAGTGACACACACAGACAGTGACACACACAATCACAGGCAAACAGTGACACACACACACAGTGACACACACAATCACAGGCAGTCACACACACACACACAGAGTAACACAGACACTCACAGGCAAACAGTCACACACACACAGTGACACACACACACAGTGACACACACAATCACAGGCAAACAGTCACACACACACAGTAACACACACAATCACAGGCAGACAGTCATACATACACATAACACAATCACAGACAGTCACACACAATCAGTCAGACCCCACCCCCCCTTAGTACGCCACTGTAAAAGGGGAACATACAAACTTAATGCTTTCCTATGGGGGCTCCTGCATCACAACTGAGTTTTACTCGGTCAGCACAGCAGAAGCGCCTCTAGTGGTTGTCGGTGGAGTTGTGTTTAAGTCTTCAAGGGAAACAGTTTCTACAAAATGGCAATGTTTTACCTTGAATGGTGAAACTGACAGGACCACTGCAACCAAGCCACTTCATTGAGATGAAGTGGTCAGGGTGACTTTAGTGGTCACTTTGAAGTGGCCTTATACCATTTATAAAAACGTTATAGGTTTTACCACCATCTTCCAATGTCTGATCAAGTAAAGGAGTTTAAGCATGCGTGGGATAGGCATAAGGCTATCCTAACTCGAAGATAAGGCCAGGGACTAATGAAAGTATTTAGAAAATTGGGCAGACTAGATGGGCCGAATGGTTCTTATCTGCCGTCACATTCTATGTTTCTATGTATAATCCAGCTCCACCATATCATCTTGGATTCCTATCTCTTCTTCTTCTTTTGGGCTGTACATAAGAAATGCTGATTTGCATTATGTATAATAGATGTGTGCATTTGGCTCTGGACGAATTGGAGTTCATCCAAATTTAGGTTGATTAGCCGTTGGGCCAAATGCCGTATATTCGAAGCAACTAGCGCGATGGATGAGTATTTTCGTTTGCTTTGGGATTCAAAGGTTCACCTGTAGCACCAAAAAAAGAGATGATTGATGGGGAAAGCGCTAGGGGACCGACACTAAATGTAACCAATAGAGGGAAAAATTAAGTTAAAGTTAAAAAAAATATTTTATATATTTTCTATTTAATAAAGATATGTAATTCATAAATATAGATATATATATATTTTTAATAATCCTCCTCTTTTTCCTCCTATTGGTTACTTTTTCTCACTTGAACCAAATGGTTGGGAAATGCACCAATCAGGGTATCACAAATTATATACACCATATTTATATTAAGTATATATTCTGCATTACATCAATTGGCCCATTTTCGCACCTGAACCTTTCCCGAAGTAACTTTAATTTTTGAAAAAATATTTTTCGGACGAACAGATTTCTTTTGCCATGCACAAGTGTCGTGTACAACAAATTTTATCAGGGAAGGAATACTCAAGTGATTTCCTGTAGCATATCAATGCCACATACCACAGGACAGGACATTTCATTCACTGACTGTCAGCATTGATATGGGTCTTGAACCGCATGGCAGGTCTGAAAGCCTGAACTTTGGATCAATGGGAGCTCCACGCAGTCAGTCAATAAATAGTAGTCATTACTATTGTCTTCTTGGAACAGAGAGTCTCTGCAGGTTACATTGCTATTCACTGAGGATACAAATGTTGAACTGGTTCAGTGGAAGATGTTATCTGTTTTCCTCCTACCTTTGATTGGCTGCCCATTCTCTCATGGATTTGTATCGTATCGATTCCTCGTGAAATCATTTCACTGGCAATTAGGCCTCAATGAAAACAGTCACCCTGGTTTTATTAAGATCAACAGACGTCCTTACCCTTGTATGTGTGCATTATCCTGCATTAACCCTTTCACTGCAGTATGGGCAGAACCTACCCTCAGGGCAATCTGAGTTATCAATTCCAAATTATAAAAAAAAATAAAAAAATTTCAAAACTGCAAAATTAAAGCAAAAATATCTGAGCTGTGACTAAAGCTTATTTGTAGAATGTTTCCAGGTGAGCTATTTTGCCTATAGTTTTCCATATGTATTTAAAATGTCTACAATTCAAAGTTTAGTGAATAAGCCCCTATTACTTTCATTTTTTTTTTTTTTTTTTTTGAAAGTCAGCTATAAGCTAAGTAAATATGAGAACATATAACAGTTTTGTTACCTTTGGCATTGTCACGTTAATCTCCTGTCTGGATGGTCCTGGTCGAATATTTGTTGGGGGTTTTTTCCAAATTGGTTTAGCTTTGATCTAAAGACTTGTATAACTATACACTATCAAATATTAATATTAAAATAATAAAAGTTTAATAATAGTTTAAAATCTCTCAGAAATACATCTTCATTTGCCTTTTCTTAATAGTAAATTAAAATCATAAGGGTTGTTTCTTGTCTAGACGTAAGATTACTTGTTTCCTTTTTGCTAATTTTCTTCAAGACACAGCATGGGCATATTTCATGAAATTCTGAATTGAAAAACTTAATTGCAACATTAGCACAACATTAGCTAACCTATGGCTAATACTTTAGCTTGGAGACATTTGCAAAATCTGAACGTGATGCCAAAACAGTGCAATTCAGTTTTCAATTCACAACAATTTGGAGTTGTTCAATATACCAACATAACTCAATGTATCCACATAGTTCTAAAAAATACAGTTTAGAGGGGGGACGGTCACTTCACCAGAATTTTCCAATATAATGTTTACATATCTCTGTATTTAAAAATTGTGCATTTTCTAGGTGTGAAAATTACATTTAAATGTAAAAATCTACACCTATTTACACTGCAACTGGGCGGCTCCATCTTAGCTCCCTGATTGACTTAGCTATAAGCTCCGCCCTTTGTACCTGCCAGTTATGTAGAAAAATATACAGGAAAAGGGCAGAAATGAAACACTGTTTCTATTTCTCCTCTTCATTTGCAATGTTTGCCGAGGTTTTGCCTTGTCTGTACTAGATTATTACATAATTTGCTAAATCTTTAACCTATATTGAAAAAAGAAGGAGCGTCTTATGAAAAAAAAGGCTAACACAAGTTATAGGTGATTTTTAATGTTTTATTCAATGGTTTATATTCCAAAGAGGTTTTTGTCTTCTATCTTTAGCAGTGAAAGTCGAGTACGTGTGCCTCAGCTACCTGAATATTAAAGAAGTCGATCTAATACTCTGCAGGCAGAATTCCTTTTACTGATATTTCATGTTACTAAGTTACTGTCCAAATGCTGAAGTGAGGCACCTGGATCTTTAATGACTTGTAACCAACCAAGTGCCAGTCTACCTACTTGAGCAGGTTTCTTGTGCGTTTAATGCATATTAGCATAGCCTCGCTCCTTCAATCTGCTGATATTTGCTTTGCTCTCAGTGAGAGAAAGTTCAGCTTTACTACCCTAACACACAGTCAATTATTAACTACGATAAGATATTTGCACTGACTAGATGTGGTCTCCAACTAAGAAAAGATATATAGAAAATCTGATTGTGGTGTTGTTAACCCTCGTCATGCCATGAAATTGGTTTTATTAATAAAAAAAGTTCTTAACTGAAAACATGAACTTTGTGGTAGGCTCTGTCCTTTGGAAAATTGGCATTTTCTTATGGAATTTGAAATATTGGTAATATGGAGCTGTTGCTATAGCTGCATCTTTGTGTATTTTGTTTATACTTAAATCTTCGAAGGGGTTTTATGAGTGACAGCATTTACTAGTTGTTAGTTCTAATTTGTGTGTTATAGTTTTAGGTGCATTTGTATGTATTGTCTATGTTGTTTTACCAGTACAATACTAGAGGAATAATCAGCATATGACAAATCTACTTTGCCAATATAAATGCCACGCCTGTACTCCAGAATACACAGAACTATAAAGGATCCATTTGACATCTGATTACCTTTATTTTCTGACACATCAGAATAAATGCCCTCGAGGATATGTTTGTTACTACAGCAGGGCAACAGTTTATAGTGTCTTTTAGAGCAATGCGCCTCAACCCTCTACTGATTACCTGGGTGTCTAAGGCGTATTTATTTTTTTTTAGTTTTTTTTTAAACAGCTTAGAAACACCTGGGTAATCCCTAAATCCTGGTCTGTTAGATGTGCCTTGAGGAGAGGGTTGAGGAGCACTGTTGGAGTACTTTGATGACAATCTTCTTGTTAAAAAAATACACCAAACATTGCATATTTCCTAACACTTGTATATATATGATCTTGAAGCAAAAAACACTCAGGATCAGTGGTGTACCTACTATGGTCGCAGGGGTCGCAGCTGTGACTGGGCCCCTCACTGAAGGGGGCCCGGCCGCATCCAGGACCCCTGTGACCGTGGGCCGCCTAGATGCCGCCCACTCCGTCCTCCCCCTGTCATATTCTGTATTATATTGCATCCCTGCTGTTAATACTTTGTATACTGGAATGTAACATTTATATGGCTGTTAATGTACTATAGATTGGATTTTATCATATTCTGATTGATGCTAAGTGGTAACATTGGTTGTTGTAGTTTATGCTGCTTTACAGCATACTGCTGCCTGTTATTCTATTATATGATATAATATACATCTGGGTGACTTTACAGGACACTGGATTATAACAGAGCTCTGTGACGTACACTGAATTGTGTAATGTACCCTGTTACTCTATATTAGAATGTATTATACCATATCCAAGCAGTTATTGCATATATACTATATGATATAATAGCCTGATACTGCACTATATACAATATAACATATCTCTGTGCTTTACATTGAATTATATCACATACACAGCTGATTCTATATTGCAGAATAAAATTATATCTCTGGTTTTATAGGACTGTAGCAATTCCATAGTTGTATTATATATTTATATGCATGAAATTATATCATTGTGTTTCTCTATGTTAGATATCTCTGGGAGTTGATATTTGTTATAATATAGTGCAATAAGTGCAGCTTTTACAGTATAACTAAAACATAGCTTAAGGCAATCATATGTTATATATCTGACATTTATATAGCAGGGGGTCTGCTGAGCCTTATAACACATGATTAATGCGGATATATAATAAGCAGATGACATATTACTCACAGTAGGATAACTACAGAGCAACAGAAATAATATCCAGAACAGGGGTTTCTGACTTGCTGTTAGTTCATTTCTATTCGTTTGATAAAAAGAATGTTGGTTTTAGACATACTGTAACACAATATTCTAATATACTATTATAGCAAAAAATAATAGTATTATATTACATGAGGAATCACACACTTGCCTAGAATTGATTATATACATGCTTTGAATGTAAAATACGAAGTTAATCATTTAAGCCTATATACAGCACAGAATGTAGCACAAGCACTGCATATTTTAGCAATTGCACCTGAAACTTCAAAGTGGCTTAAACATTGGATTTTAAAGTTACCTGGGACATAGGCAGACTGTATAAAGGTGATTTACACAATAGAGGGAAGAAGAAGTAAGTGAGACGTATTCAAGGCGGTTGCTACAATATAGGGAGATGTATCAAGACAAAAGCAATTGCTGTTCCGGGACAAAATGATAAATAGGCAGCAATCCCCATGGTAACCAACAGGCTGACTCTGCCTATGATTTAACAAGGTATCGGTATCAGTAGGGGCTTTATAACTGTGTGAGAGATGTTGATGGGGCTGAGAAGCTCTCTGGCGCCTAAGATGTTAAGAGCCAGCAAGGCAGAGCAGCTCAGCAACGTTGGGGTTAACTATGATCAGTGCCCCAGTGCTGTGACTGGGATACAGGAGAAGCACCAGATGTAACCATTCCTTATTCAGAGAGCTTGGGGTAAGCACTTTAACCCATTCACTGCCTGTGAGATAATAAATGTAAATCTCCAAGGACAATTCCTCCCTGGAAAAATAAGTTTAACACACAGCAACATATGGCTTCATTAGGTGGCTGTTGCTATGGGACATTGCATACATAGTGCTGGCCCAGTGGTTTAACCATTTCATTGCCGGGATAACTTAACCTTATTGATTCCTTATGGCTAAAAGGTTGCTGGTCTGAATGTTGTTGTGTGTCTGTGTATTTATAAGCTGCAACAGCATTACACCTGCCTTGAATTTACAATCAAACTGTCAGATTATATATTAAATACACAAAACATACAAGAACGCTCTCCAGGTGGAATTTAATCAATTCAATATTAAGTAATAATTTAATTGGCAGATTTGATTTAAGAACTACAGAGGACTCTAATGAAAAGTAAAAGAAGAGGACTGCATTTGGAACATCCTAAAAATATGATAAGAGAGTCGGAAAAGTATTAGTGAGCAATAATCAATCGATTACCCATACTTATCAATTAATTATTATTATTAATAAATGGCTGTATAGGCAGCCTTTACCAAACAGTTTACATTCTCACTCTTTCTTGTTATTTAGCACTGCAGCAAAATATAACCAGTATATCATCATTTAATTTTAAGAGACACAGTTAATCATGGTTTGTGATATGAATACATTAATTCAGAACAATCCTGCAATACGCACATGCTGTTTAATGCAGGGCAGCACTTTTCCTGTGACATGCCACTGTATATATGCTGAATCTGACAGCTGTGGATTTTTCATTGCAGACAAAAAAAATAAAAATTCTGTGCTCTCTTAATTAAGATAGTTTCAGTCCATGTAAAGGGGCAACTATTTAGAGAATAACCAACCTGGGACCAAAGGCTCTCCTATGTGTCTGCTCTCATTGTATTTTCTCATTGTAATATTGTATCTATTGTAATGGGGGAACTCATTTCTGATACCAACCTACCTGTCTGTGTGTCATTGTTGTCTCTTGATGGTTCCAAAATTCTTCACATCTCTGCATACACCTGATAAGAAGGGAGGTCCAGGTAAGATGCCCCACTCTGGTGCTAAGAGAGCGCTAGAGTCTTCAGGTATTCTATCCACCTGGCAGAATGGACAAAATTATTTATCCTGTCCCTGCCTTCAACAGAGTCCCTGTTTCCCCCAAATCAGGTGCATCTGTATAAATTGTGAAATATGTCCTTTAAAAGTGCACAGCAACAACAGTGCAATTAGTCAGCTTCTCTGTGGATCAGCAACAGGCAATCTCCCCTCTCCAATCACTGTGCAGGCAGGTGGCTTAGAGACATCAGAAGTCCAGATTTAAGTAGATACATAGTGCTATGCTTCCCTTTTGCTGGAGGAGTGATAGACTTGTTCTTGCAGAGCCCATTGATTCACAGCACTGGGTGTTCTATATTAGAAGTTAGTGATGGAATGAGGGGATCACCTTTATCTGAGCTGTAGTGATTGCTCTGTGTGATCTCAGAGTGGCTGTGCCATTCTGGTGTAACAGGACTAGACTGTATAAACTATCAGACACACAGCTCTGTCTGAGCTCCCCCCACCACACACACATACAAACACACACACACACACACACACACACACACACACATTGCATATTGGTTCTCTGCTCACCGAAGCCAAGTTTGTGATTGATTTTTCTAATGCTTGGGTAGGAAAGGGTTTTAACTGAAATTATGGGAGATTTGGTAAATATTTGCTAATCAAGTTGCTCCACTTAGAGAATAAATGAAATGAGAGGCTGGGGTAGTGGATGCTGAAGATACAAATGAGTCATTTTGGCTGAAATGTAATTTAAATATCTCTCAATTACCTCCTGAAGGGAAGGATTTTCCTGGGATAAAAATGGAAATTCATGACTTATTTCAAGGACTGTGCTATATTAATAACTATAACACCCCTCCTCCTCCCCCCCCATTTATAATTTATTAGGAAATGTTACTGTAATATTTCTAAGACACCACAAGTACCACTAGATCAGAATGGGTTAAATAACTACTGTGAATGAAAGCATAATTATACTAATATACATCACATAGGGGTTCATTTTATCAAAGTAAATATTAGGATTTACATGTGGTTATATTAAGAACTATGTTTGCCAAGTACATTCGACATTGTGTGTCACAGTGAGATAGCCATCTGTACTTTTGTTAATGTATGTGTATATATATATCTCAATCATGCATTGTGTTGCTCTGTAGCAGGGGTAGGCAGCAGGTAGCTGTGCATTTACATTAAACTACAACTCCCATAATTCTCAGATGGCATATGAGTGAGGGGTCTCTGCGAGGTTAAAGGTCATGCTGATTGTGTCACCACACTGAACTGTAGTAAATTGAAAAACAAATGGAAATATTTAGTCAAAAGTAATGCTTTAGAAAGATTCTGCAAGTTCACCATATCCACATCTTTCCAAGCTAAAATTATTTCACACGTTTAAAATTCACTTTAGAATTCCTGACAATTCCCATCATAGTGGCTAACTCTAAATTCTTACAGAGAGACTGTCACTGCCCTAGAATCTGTAACATTATGTTTACTTATTTCATATATTTAACGCAGTCAGCAGAAAGTATGAGAAATGAATGGGGGTTATGTATAAAAAGAGGTGCTGTGTACTGAAAAATGATCTAAAGTACTATAAGTGAGTCAGTCAACACGGAAACAAATGGAACCAGCATGCACATTGCATTCCTAACTCCTCCCACTTTACCCAATTTCAACGTTTTCCACCACTTTTAAGAACATGATACATTTTATATATATATATATAATCTCCAATATTTTTAATCTTGTCCTGCCCCGGTTTTGTCCTGATTGAACTGGCATGTGATGTAATTTGCTAAATATTTAATAAATATTTAAACGTAAACAAAGCATCACATTAATATAAAACATAACACAAATTCAATGTGATTTTAAATATTTTATTCAGCTGTGTAACTTCCTGGGAAATTACCCATTACCCAACCTGTGCCCAAAAAGACATTCCCTACTTAGATGTGTAATACCTCCCTGTCAGCAATGAGTAGGACAACCCCAGTACGCAGTGTATCCAGAAGGATATTGATACTTTGAAAGAGTTCAGAGAAGGGCTACTAAACTGGTTCATGGATTGCGGGATAAAACTTACCAGGAAAGGTTAAAGGATCTTAACATGTATAGCTTGGAGGAAAGATGAGACGGGGGATATGATAGAAACATTTAAATACATAAAGGGAATCAACACAGTAAAGGAGGAGACTATATTTAAAAGAAGAAAAACTACCACAACAAGAGGACATAGTCTTAGATTATAGGGGCAAAGGTTTAAAAATAATATCAGGAAGTATTACTTTACTGAGAGGGTAGTGGATGCATGGAATAGCTTACCAGCTGAAGTGGTAGAGGTTAACACAGTGAGGGAGTTTAAGCATGCGTGGGATAGGCATAAGGCTATCCTAGCTATAAGATAAGGCTAGGGACTAATGAAAGTATTTAGAAAATTGGGCAGACTAGATGGGCCGAATGGTTCTTATCTGCCGTCACATTCTATGTTTCTGTAAAGAAGGGTCTTTAAGGATCAGATTCCTATAAGGACAAATAAAACCTGTTTTCATTGGTCTGTAAAACTGTAATGAGACATTTTAAACCTGATGAGTTAAGGATTCCATGTCCCATATTATATGGATATGGATACTAAAATAGGTGGCTTGTTCTGCAGAACATCATTATAAGCCGTGAAAGTGGTAATGTATTATAAAATTCATGGGTCAACCTACTTGGAAATTTCCCATATCTGCTGGTTTATTTATTTTTTCACTGATTTTTTTTTTATTAGTTAATTGGTATACTTTAGATGTATGCGATACACTGTTATATTTTTATTTCCCCAGAATATTTGACAGCTGGTTGACAGAGCCCTGGCCTTGAAATAATTCTTTCAGTGATCCGAAAGACCCAAGTCATTTGTTAGTAGGAAATATTATATGACAGATTGCTTTCTTTAGCTACGTTAGCTAAACCCATACATTTTAAATAGCCTGTTTCCCTTTTTTTGAACAAATGCATAGCAAGTACTCATACAGCTGATACATAAATAAGTAGACAGAAATACAATTTACTATCAGACAGTGGAACTCTGACTTGCTATTTTTTTCCCCATTACTAGCAAATCAAAGGTGTGGACTCAGCGTTTGAAGGTTTTATCCGACTAGGAGAATTTTAAGTAGACTAATCTCCTCATTCCATATCACACAGGAAGATTATCGATGAGAGTAAAATTCTGTTTGCTTCATTTATAAAGTGTAAGACTCTCTCCAAGGTTGAAGGAGCAACTCCAGCAATGTCCGAATTGCATGGAGCGAAAACTACTTTTTATGTGTAATATAGAAAAAAAAATGCATTTGTTTTCATCACAGTCTGCAGAACGGTACATTTGCTGTAAAGCGAAAATGTGCCAAAACACACTTTGCATTTTGGACTAAGAGGTGACAACGTTACTACTTATATGTGCTAGTCTAGGTGGATGTGTATGTACTCTGACAAGACAAGTTAGGTCCATCAATAATTCTACAAAGATGGACTTTCTTTAGAGAAGACCTGTAGATGACCGCTGAAGGTGGAAGCATGAAAAGGGAGCAATTATAGTAGGCAACATTGCAAAAAGTCAGTGATAATGAATTTATTGATTAATGGGGATAAGAAGATTGGGGTAGAGAGGTGTGAAGCATTTGACTTTAAATTTAATCCTGAACGATGTAGGAAGCCGGTGTAAGGGTTGATACAGAAGGAAGGTGTGAGACGAGTGGTTATTAAGGAAGACAAATCTGGTGTCATCATTTTTTTTATTTCTGGTTGTAAGAAGGTAACTTGCGAAGACCCAATGAAAAGTGATTTGCATGCATCTCGATATGAGATACTGAGTGGTGAACAAGTACTCTGGTTGTATTATATTCCAGAATGTAAGCAACGTTCTTGCTTATGGAGTGAAAGAAAGGTCAAAAGCAGACATTATATGAAGACAGCAAGCTACAGACAAAGGCTTAATGACATCATCTATGGGAGGCTAGCTATAGAAGGTTAGAGCTCAAAGAAGAAACATTTTCAAGAAGTCATTCAGTTACAGACGTAAGAGAGACAGATGGTGTCATAATCCTAGAGATAGGGATAGAGCGAAATCAAGGGACGAACAATGAGCTAACCTATCCTCGGCGGTTTCAACCCATCACTGTTGACCCAACTGGACCGAATCCTAGTTGAAAGAGCAGCAGTGTCAGTGAAGGCTGATCCATAGGGGCAGGCAGGATGGCAGCCACTCTAGGTTTTGTCGAAAAACAAACAAACAATCTATTGGAATTCTTAAGACCACTGATAAGTGTGTTAGAAAAAAACATGTCAGTCATGATTATAGCTGCAGTTCCCATTCAGTCCTTGTTGGTGAGTGGAGCTGCAGCTGGTTTTGAGTAGGGCATGGCATCTCAAGGGGTTAAATAAGTAGAGCCCAACAAGTCAGAAGGGAGGAAGCCATGACCGTGACTGGCCACCAACAGTGTAATATCCACATAATTAGTAGAGCAGGTAAATGATCAGCTATAGGAGCCAATGAGAGGTCCAGTTTTTGTCAAACCAACTCAAAACACATTTTGGGGAGAAGTGAGACTGAGTTATAACCTTGACACAGTGATATGGCTCAGCTTTAGCTTTTAACCCCTTAAGGACACATGACGTGTGACATGTCATGATTCCCTTTTATTCCAGAAGTTTGGTCCTTAAGGGGTTAAGTAACAGTTCGTTAAATCAGGAAATACAGAAAGCGGTATTTAGACAATCTAAGGAGTGCAACAGAATCTGTGTCCTCTGTGATGAAAGGGTTAATGATTAAAAATTATAGTTTGTGTGCAAATGATCACAATCAATTGTTTGACAAATCCAAACATCAAACTGTAGGCTGAGCAAACTGTCCTTCCTTTGTTTGCAAAAATAAGCTGATAATGTACTTCATTCCTTTCTGCCTGCTCCTGGAGGATTAAATAGATGTGTAAAAACAAAAGGTAATCAATACATTCTTTCAACATTTCCTTTTGTGCTGAAAATAGAGGCTCATTATAAAATAGAGGCCCCTTACACTATACAGAAATTGGAAAGAAATAAAAAGTTAAACAAAGCAATGAGTAGCGACTTTTGACATCAATTACACATACAAGGCAGAAATTTAATTCTAGGAACTCCTGGGCACACAGCAATCATCTTCCAACATTTAATAACCTGTTAAAGACCAATAATATTTTATCATTCATGTCTTGGTTCCTAAGACCCAATGTCAGTATAGAATTTCGTAGCTCTAATCAGACCTGCAAGCTACACCTGAGTGCAACATTCTGTTTCGGAATCTTTGAAGGCTGGTTTGTTATAACATAATTAATCCAATGCTGGTCTTTAAGAAAATAAATTAATGAATTTTTGGATGGGACAGTTGGTAACTGTTGCAGAGCTGCAATACCTGACATAGGTATCTCCACTGAATTCTCTCGAAGCTGAAACAAGCGCTGTTAGTGAATAGCTCTATTCCTCTTAGTAACTCGACGACGCATAGTTCTTGGAGTACATATGATTTTTTACAC